GATGACCAGCAGTGCCATGCTGATGCTGCCTTCTCAGTGGAAGGGGGGGTTAGAAAAGGTCGGCCCCAAAAATAACACACTCCACCACGCCCCACGGTCTGCCGGGCCGGCGGTGTTGGTTCACTTGTCGTTTCCTTTCGACCATCCGGCCCCAAAAATACAAAAATTCAAAATAATCATACTCAAAAGGCTGGGTGTGACAGGCCTCAAGCAGATGTCCGATGGGCTCTGCGGTCACACAAATCTCTTTCAGGTACCTTAAGAAGAAATAGCCTTCCACGGTGTGGGCAGCCGGGAAGTGTCAACCGCCCTCACAACTCTGTCAGCACCCAAGTTTCTTCTGACTGCTATCCTCCTCCTCCATCATTACCTTCTAATCTTCCTTCACGTCTCTTAATTAATGATGCTGCATCATCTTCAATTTCTCCTACCTCTGCAGCCTTCGACAACGATCTGAGTCCACAGAACAGCATCCCTGGTCTCCTTAAACCACGCTCCAAATTACATATTGGAGCCTTCAATGTCCGCACCCTCCGTCAAATTGGCCAACAGGCTTCGTTGGCAAAGACTCTAGCAACTCGGGCATGGATGTGTGCTGTGTTTGTGAGACACGCATACAGGACCCAAGTGTGGTTATTCACCTGACCTCTCCTGACCAATCTGGTGAATCTGCAAAATTCACCCTTCGAGTTTCTGGAGATTCGATAGCTAGCTCTCGTGGTCTTGCAGGTGTAGGTATAGCATTAAGCACCAGGGCAGAAAACTCACTACTAGACTGGATCCCAGTTGATAGTCGCCTCTGCGCTATGAGGCTGAACGGCACAGTGAGAACTAAAAGGAATAGTGAGACTCGCCGTTGTCTCTTTGTAATCTCTGCTTACGCACCCACTGACTGTAGTTCGGATGAAGTGAAGGACGAGTTCTACCATAAACTGTCTAACCTCCTCTCGAAAGCCAAACGTTCGGACGTAGTGGTTGTTGCAGGTGACCTCAACGCACAGGTGGGTAGACTGAGTGAGGCAGAAAGGCACTTAGGTGGCACTTTCGGAATCCCAGCTGAACGTACAGATAACGGTGATCGCCTATTACAACTATGCTCAGATAACCGCCTATTTTTAGCCAGCACAAATTTCAGACATAAAGAAAGGCACTGTCTGACCTGGCGTCCACCGAGCTCGACTCAGCGATGGACACAGATAGACCACATTGCTATTAGTCATCGCTGGAGAGGATCGGTGGAAGACTGCCGCTCCTTCTGGAGTACGTGTTTGGACAGCGATCATGCGTTGGTCCGAGCACGTATATGCCTGCGTCTCAATGGACGTAGAAAAAATTTGGCAACAAAACCACTACGAGTTCTGCTGGACAACGAAAACACCAAAGCCGTGTTCAGTGAGAAGTTGGCTAGGCAGTTATCGGAACAAAAGACTGTCACTCATCCAGAAGAAGCTTGGTGCCATCTTCAGTCTACTGTAAAAGCAGCACTGGAGACTGTAGCCGACTCCAAGATAATGGCTAAAAAGAGCCAGTGGATATCAGCAGCTTCTTCCAAACTAATGGATGCACGTGAATGCATCCCTGCAGGCTCTGAGTACAATGAAGAGCGAGCGCAACTTAAAAATAAACTGACGAAAAGTCTGCGCAACGATCGTGAACAGTGGTGGGCAGCAAAGGCTAAAGAGATGGAAAAGGCAGCGGCGATCGGTAACAGTAGACAGTTATTTAGACTTATTAAGGAGACTGGGGGGAAATGGTCAACAACAGTTAGTGAGGTTATAGCGGAGAAGGACGGATCGATTCACTCGCAGGGAAGGCGACTGGGACGATGGGCAGAACACTTTGAGGAACAGTTTAACTGGCCTCCAGCCACCATTGCGCTGCCCGCTATCCAGTCGGACCCTGAATGGGACATAGAGACAGGTCCCCCAACACTAGAAGAAGTTGAGAAAGCGGTAGGTAGCCTGAAACGGGAAGGGCAGCAGGACCAGACGGACTACCTGCTGAGGTATACAAGAATGGTGGTAGAGTTCTCTTAGTCAGGCTAACGGAAGTGTTAGCCAGTATATGGGAATCAAATACGATCCCCTCCGACTGGTCTAAGTCACTCATCATCCCAGTCTTCAAGAAAGGCGAGAAGTCCTCTTGTGATAACCACAGAGGAATCAGCCTGACAAACATAGTGTCTAAGATCCTAAGTTCTATAATTCTCCGACGCCTGAGTGGAGCTCGGGAACAGCAAGCCCGAGAAAACCAGGCAGGCTTTAGACCTGGCCGTGGATGTATCGACCAAATATTCACACTGCGCCAGGTCCTGGAACATAGGCATGCTTACAGACGCCCGACAATAGCTGTATTTCTCGACCTGAAGGCGGCATTTGACTCCGTTGATCGAGAAGTCTTATGGCAGTGTCTGTCACTGAAAGGCGTGCCTAGTAAGTACATCACCTTATTGAAAGCTCTCTACTCGAACACTTGTGGGCATGTTAGAGCCTATGGTGAGTTGTCCAGGGAGCTATACTCATCAAGTGGTGTCCGTCAAGGATGCCCACTATCCCCATTCTTATTTAATTTTATCATAGATATTCTTATGGAGGTTTCCCTCTCGTCACCTAATTACAAAGACGTTGACCCGATCACAGGTGAATTTTCCTTAGATCTAGAATATGCAGATGACATAGTCCTGTTAGGTGAAGACGCTGACAAGATGCAGAGTCTTCTGAACACTTTGAGTGGGAATTTGGGATGCGATTTTCACCACCCAAATGCAAATTTTTGCTCCAGGACTGGTCTTCAGCGGTACCGCGGTTAACAATAGAGAGTGAAGTGGTTGAGTGTGTTGACCACTTCACTTACCTGGGAAGTAGGATCAACCCGGTGGGTTAGTTGCCGATGAGATTTCTGCACGGATACAAAAGGCTCGATTGGCTTTTGCCAATTTGCGCCACCTATGGCGCCGCCGTGATATTCGTTTGTCTATTAAGGGTCGCGTGTACTGCACAGCAGTCCGCTCTGTTCTACTGTATGGCCATTGAAAGTGGAAGACATGAAAAGGGTTCAGGTGTTTGACCACCGTTGCCTTCGTAGTATAGGACGTATTCCGTGGTGTCACCATGTGAGTAATGCAGAAGTTAGGTGTAGAGTTTTAGGGAGAAGAGGTAAGTCAGTCGACGAGGTTGTGAACCTTCATCGACTGAGATGGTTGGGACACGTACTACGTATGCCTAGTCACCGATTGCCTCGTCACACAATGTTGGCTGAGGTGGGTTCAGGCTGGAAAAAGGCCCGAGGTGGCCAGACTAAAACATGGCACCAATGTATGAAGTCTCTGACTGTTGGTTTAAGCCATGTAGGACGATGCAGACTAGGTGGTTGGGGTCCACGGGACAAGAGGAACCAGTGGTTGGAGACCCTAGGTGATATGGCTCAGAACCGAAGTCAGTGGCGCAGATGTATACACACATTATCCTCATCTTAACAACGCTATACCGAATCTCACTATTTTGTCACTCCTCTTTCCTTTCTTCTCGTACTTTATATTTCTTTTGACTGCATTCACTTATCTTCATCCTTCACCTCACTACCTTTTTACTTGATGTGCTGATATGAGGTGTGGCAACTCGGACCGTTACGCAGTAATGCCTGGTCCTATGTTGATAATAATGATGATGAACGACATCTTATTAAAGTTCTATGATCTGCTGGTAGTGCAAGTTACACAGTCATCAATGAACCTGCGTACGACATTTACTTCGTACTATCCGTGTCAGTTGCTATTACACGCATACTTGAAACTTGTGATAAGAAACTTTGAGCAAATAGAAAGGCTTTGTTACCGAATCATTTTGTAACTGGTGATACGAGCAGTGGATAGGATGTCTTTGTTCCCGATTATACATTCTAGATTTCTTATATGATTTCAGTGCTATCGCACCGCTTCATTAAATCGCAGGGGTACTGCGACCCTTTGACGTATTTTTCTAGACATTTAATTACTTTAAGCCTGACCACCCATCTCCATAATAATGCTTATATTTGAGGACCAATAATTATTGCTCGTTTTTAGTGGGGGTGTTCAGACATAATGGAGATAGCTATTCAATTGATGAAATTATCCTACGACATTAGTTCTAGTCGCCGGAATGTTTCACGTCTCCCACAAATAATAGGTCTGCAGTCGAGTTATTTGTTACTTCTCTAGACCACATTTCACTATTTTCCAGCTTTTTTAAGAAAGATTACAAAGTACCGTCGATCGTTCCATGTTCGTACATAATGGTGAGCAAAACTAATCAGCACGAAAGAATGAAGAGGGTTACACTGAACAAAGAGCTTGCACATTTTTCTGTTGAAACAGCATACGCTATGAACTGTCACAGTGGACATCAGAAAACTGAACAGGAGAGTGTGTGAAGTTAAAAGCTGTTGTGAACACAGTAGGGTTTTCCAATTTTCTGAGACATGCGGCCACTTTACCTACAAAGATAATTCCAGATCACTCTAAATAATCTGCAGTTAAGGGAGTGGTCATTTGAATTCTAAAAAGTTTCAGGGTATATCCAACTGCTGGTAGCCAGAAGGCCATTTCAAATTCCAGCTGATGGGATAATCTGCAGCATCTCGTTGCTTCTTTAAAATCATACCAACTTTGAAACTGACTTCCCTGTTGTGAGCGTTCACGGAAAAATACAGGAAACCATTTCATAAGTCAAGTAAACACATGAACACACGTATTTTCGCCAAATTCTTTTGAGAATCAATTTTAAATACATGTTTTTCTTAGCTGAATAAACACTTCACTACATACAGCAGCCATCACTTAAAGCATAGGAATGGAACTTAAGGCGCATATATAATTGAAATTTGAAGGTATACACTACAGAGTTTTATATATTAAGGAATAAACGGATTGAACCCGTGCTGCATATCAAAACAATACACTGTGCTCTAGGCTTCCCAACTTAAATATCGAAACTAGTGTACAAAATACCAGCAACACTAACCTTGTATATTCTATCAATAAATTCACATGCTGTTTTGGCTTTTTCAAAACAAACGCAGAAAGGTATTAAGAATACTTCGATAATGGCTAAAATAAATGCCATCGGCCAAGCAAGAAACCAGATAAGGAGCCATACTACTGACCAACATATTCCTGGACACAAGCTGGTCTTATTCTAATGGATTATGATCAAACAGAATGGTAACACTCACAGATGTCATCTTCATAAGTACTACAGGCGCCGACCTTGAAAGCAGGTTTATACTTTGAACACGCTCCACGGCGCCCACGGTATTCCAAAACCCTACATTAAACGGTTTAAATGGTTAGTTACGGAATAGAAAAAGGTTTTGCCTAACTGGCTTCTATGCCTAGTAGTAGTGGGCTAAAATGATTTTCCCTCATCAACCTGTGTACAAAAAATAAGGGATAAAAAGATAGCGGGTAATTAGGAAGAGCAAGTTAACTGCAATAAATTCATGCCCGAATCTTGAGAAATCATGGAGTTAGCGTTAGAAATATTCTGACAGCCTGGTCCAAACCACTTCTGCAGGGGGAGGATTTTGAAATCCAATAATTCCTAAGGAGTACAGACTGTGCGTAATATCTTACTTGCTATCTTCGTCGCTTAACTTCTCCATGCCCTCTGGAAACATAGCTTCAACTAAGATGAGTGTTTCCTGTTCGTCTATATTTCTGAACTTTACACTGCATTAAGTGACAAGCTGGAAGCCATTATTAAGACTAGGGAAGATCTTGTGGACCCTAATTCCAATATCCAATATTGATAGTGCGAGCGTAGAAAACTGGTAGTTTTTGATCTCTCGCGTCTAGTTCTTAGGGCTTGGTTCCAGTTGTTCGGTTCACTCCTGCAGTGGACGAGGAAATACCCTCTGCTTTCTTGCTTTTAGCTTCGGTGAGGTGGATGTTTTGTGGGTTAGTAGGTTGTAATTTGTAGAGTGACTAGGGAGCTACGGGTTGCTGGGAAGTTTAGAGAACTGCCGTGACTCCTGTCTGTGTAGGTACCTGAAAGAGAATAGTAAGGTAGTGGTAAAGGAATGAAAAGAGAATAAAGAAAAGAAAAAAGAAAAGAATACAAAAAAAGATAAAAAAACAATAAAAAAATTTTTAAAAAGAGAGGGAAAAAATAATAATAATATAGGGAGGAGAGAAGGGAAGGGGAAGAAAAGGATGGGTGAAAAGAGAACGAAAGAAAAGTATTTGGGAATTGCCCGAATGGTCGCGTGGGTTTGGTTCCTACAGAAGAGTTAGTAGGTAATGTGGGTGTATTAAGGAGAGAGATAGTGAGTGGTAGTTAGGAGGGAGTTGGGGGTACTGAGGTTGGTGACTACCTGAGTACGTCCGTGGTAGTCCATGCGAGGTGACATAACTGTCTAATCGCCTCTTGAAAGAGTCGACTGAAGGAGCTATAACGATGTGTCGCGGTAAGGCATTCCATAAAGCACATACTCTTAGGGAGAAAAATTTGGACCTGAGTATGGTGTTGGCTCTCTGGTGTGCTATCTTAAAGGGGTTTCCTCGTGAAGATCGTTCAGTTGCAGGCAAAATTGATTTGTTTGCATGGTCTGCCTGATGGGCGATCTTGTATGCCATAATGAGGTCACCCCTTTTCCTGCGATAACCCAAGGTAAATAGGTTGAGGTGTTTAAGTCTTTCAAAATACGTCTTTCCCCTTAGCCCCACAATTGATTTTGTTGCAGTTCTTTGTATTCTTTCAAGGAGATTAGAGTCTCTCTTGAGTGTTGGAGGAGCCACCGTATTGAAGACCTCTAGGTGCGGCCGCACGTAGGATTTGAAAATGGTGAGGAAGAGTTCGGGAGTGAGGGCGCCAAGCTGTCTACGCAGAAAGTGTAGAATGGCGTTCGCTCTGGTTGTCATACCTTTGTAGTTGGAGCTGGTGTCCAAGGTTGAGCCCCAAATCTTTCTCCATGGACACTCTGGTGATAGCACGGTTGCTCAACATGTACTGGAAGTCGGTCGTACTTGCCTCATTTTTACTGATGTGCATTACTTTGCACTTTTCCAGGTTGAAGCTCAGGCCATTTTCCGACGACCAGAGCTCGAGTTGCTGCAAGTCCTTTTGTAGTGCTGCACAGTCAGCTTCTTCGTTTACCACCCTCCAAATTTTTATGTCGTCAGCGAAGAGGAGGATGGGTGAGGATATTTTGTCTGGCAGATCGTTGACAAACAGGAGGAACAGAAGCGGTCCTAGGATTGCTCCTTGGGATACTCCTGACGTCGACGGTCTCCACTCCGACCTTATTCTGTTCACTTTAGTGCAGAACTGCCTCCCTTCCAGGTACTCCTTGAACCAAGAGAGTAGGGGTCCACTTATACCAGCTGACATGATCTTGTGAAGCAGTACTGTGGGTGGGACACTGTCAAATGCTTTGGCTAGGTCGAGAAATACAACATGTACAGGTTTTCTATTATCCCAGCTTTGTGTCCAGTCGTCCCAGGCGGTTAGTAAGTTGGTGGCACATGAGCGACCACTACGAAAGCCGTGCTGAGCAGTGTGGACAGTGTTTTCCTATTGAGGAATTCCCAGATGGTGTCAGCTACCAGGCTTTCCAACACTTTCGACACAATAGGGAGTAGGGCAATCGGCCTGTAGCTGCCAGGGCTTTTTCTGTCTCCTCCCTTGAAGATGGGTGACAAGATGGCGCTCTTCCATTCTTTAGGGAGTTTGCACGAGTCTATTGAGTGCTCAAAGAGGTTGCGAAGTGGTTTGGTAAGCACCTCGGCGCAGTTTTTCAGAACCACTGGTTTCAGGTTATCGCAGCCAGGGGACTTGCCCGGACGTAGCCTAGATAGCTTCTCGAACACCTTTTTCTCTGTAATAGAGACGTGACAGAGGTATTCGTTATTTGCGACCTGGTCGGTGTCGTGGCGAGTCGGTGTGGATCTTGTGTCAGTGCTGAGTTGGGCTTGGAAGTGTGAGCTCAAAAGCTCGGCAATCTCTAGACTGCTTAGCACACTCCCGTCATGGCCTGTGACAAGATTCACTCCCTTACTGGTCGACTTTCTTCTTGACATGAAGCGGTACAAGTTTTTGGGGTTGCTTTGTAACCTCGCTGCCAAGTTTGTTTGGTAGGAAAATCTGTCGTTACGCACTCTAATGTTACAGAGATTGCGAATCCTTTTGTAGTTCAAGAAGTCAGACTCCCTGCGTGATGTACGCCACTTGAACCAAGCCTGCTTCTTGCTCCGGATAAGCCTCTCTGTCCCACGCTTTAACCATGAGGTTCTCATTGATTGTCTGTGTGTTACTTCTGGTACACTGTGACTGATGGCCCCAGTGATTATTTTCTTCACCTCCAACCAGTGTTCATCTATTGTGAGATGAGTCCAGTCCACTGGCCATGATGCATTCATGAGGTAGTCCCTCATGGTCTCATAGTTGGCCTTGCTGTAGCAAGGGAAGGTGTTGGGCGTCTCCAGTTGCAGAGCCTCCCTAGTTATCATGGAGAAGGTGATTACAGCGTGGTCACTGAGGCCAAGGGGAGGTTGGATGCAAACATCCTCAATGAGAAGTTCATCGTTCGTCAGAACGTAGTCAAGGCGCGATGCGTTTCCGTTAGGTCCCCAGCGTGTAGCATCACCCACTTTCTCTGAGAGGCCAGCAGTCTTAATTGCATCCTTCAGCTTCTGATTGAAGGATCTGATGCGTCTCCCTTCCGTCTCGAAGAGGATGGACGGGGTGTTGAAGTCGCCGGCAATGACTACGGAATCGTAATTTGCAGAGGAAGTCGTTAAGATAGCCTTGATGATCATTTCCTTATGTGTAGGGGAGCAGGTGGGGGACCGATATATGACTCCGAGCAGGTATTTGGTACTGTGGAGAGTGAAGTAGCACCATAGGGACTCTGGGAGCTGGGTTAAGGCCGTATCGCTAACCATCCTTGCCTTTAAACAGGAGTTTACGTAGATAGCCACTCCCCTCCTGCTCTATGTTCCCTGTCCCTGCGGAAGAGTTCCATGCCAGTAACATGCATCTCTTCGTCGGAGATGTCTGGCGAGAGCCAGGATTCGGTGATGAATATGATGTCGGAGTGCTGATGTGCACGCAGCGTCCTCATTTCTGCTACCTTCCCTCTTAGCCCCCTAACGTTGCTGTACATACATATTAGAGTGTGCCTGGTGAGAGGGGAGGTCTGGTTGTGTATTTTCGCAGGATGAGAGCTTATGTGGTTGGGTCTACCCTCGCCAGTCCTCATAGGACTGGCATTGTTCCGTTTTTTGGTGTTTTGTTATTAACTTGGGTGGGGGCTGTGGCAGTGGTGGCTTCTTTACTTGATGTATCTAACTCACTGGTCAGCGCCTGTGTGACGACCACTGACTCCAGAGGTCTTGGTGGTTGTCGTCTCTCCTCTTGCCTTGTGGGTCTAGGCTTACTTTCACATATACGTATTGAGCCACCCATGCGATCCTTCGCATTATACCATGCCTGTAGAACGTCTGTGAGGGAGGCATATGAGTCGAACTGGACGGCGAGTAGTCTGGGATTGGGTATGGTCTTCAGGTGCGCTGGCCTTGGCAGTCTACTGACGCTGAGACCAACTTTGGTTGAGAGCCATTGCCATTGTTGGACGTCGTGAAAGTACCGATCTTTGACCGAGCGGTCACTTGGCAATTCTGGAATCCCATGTACAACTATAGTGTTGTTTCTGTTGGGATTTCCAACCGCTGACTTTCTCTCCTCCTCTCTTATTGACCATGGCTTGTCAGGCCTGGCCCGAATTTTACAGGCATTAACAACGTCCGGTTGTCGCGAGAGGAGGAGTGTGTCTTCAGCCTCTTTGGCGGTATTTAGGGACACACGTAAAGGGGGTGGCTTATCTCGGGGTGCACGGCTTCCTCGAGAAAGGCGACATAAAGTTGCAGGGAGGGGAGGGAGTCCCAGCATCTGACAGTAGTCGGTCCACATTCGGCTGTCAAACCGTTCCCTCTCGACCAACAATGAGTCTGTCGATACATCGACGTTGAACAAAATGATCGAGTTGGTCCTCCTGTGACCTGGGTTCGTTGTGGGTGGCACGCCCGACTTCCCAATGGGTTTGAGTAATTCCACTGGTTGTTTCTCAGTCACGGTGTGTGGGGTGTTTGGAATGGGTTTCGTAGAGGCTTCGGCGGTCGATGTCTTTGGCCATGCGCTTGACGTCCCCTGGGGCCGGGTAGGAGGTATGGAGACTTGACCTAATATGGTCCCCACGCGAGGTGGCGTGCCCACAGCTGGAGCTCTAGGTCTGTTTCCAGGTCTCTCTGTGTT